GAGTGGCTTAGTCACAAATCGATAGAGAACATAAAAAAACTGGTTCGCCTCAACGTGTTTTTACACATTTTTTTACATAAAAGTAGACACAGCTTCCACCAAAATAAAGTTTGGAGGTCAATATCATGAACAGTTTGCAACGACAGATCAATTAACCAAAAACTATTCACTTTTTTTCATATACTTAAGTAGTTCTCGAGTTATAAAGGGGTGAACCTCCGCTTCAGCTATGTTAAAAAATTGGCAATATTGCCCATATATATTTTTTTCTGTTAAGCCCCTTACTAGTTCGCTATAACCGTATTCGACTGTAATTTGCTTGACCCCTACTAGTTTGCTATAACCGTACTCGATTGTAATACAATTTTATCGAATCTTTAATAATTTCGAAGGTCCTTCTGGTACCTCGGCGACATATGGTCAAGTTTTCGATAAAAATAAAACAAATGGCGAATGTGGTTTAAAAAATTACATGCCTTAATATGTATACTATGATGTTAATGGAGTATCCAAAATTGTCATATCATACAATTTTTTAACATATATAAAGTAGGAATATCGGGTTTATTGGACCATGCATTCGGAAACCTTAACAATTTAAATAAAAGGAAGTAAAAACGTCTTTAAGTTCGTCCACCATGCGATGGACATTCAAAATTCCTGTAATCGTTCGGAACCTCCATAAATGGCACAAACAAATATATCCAGATGTTACAAACAGTATGACAAGATTAATATCGCCACCATTTTATGGTAAATAGTATAAAAATTGAATCAAACCCAACCTACAAACTTTGAACACAAGAGGAGGACACACCTTTTTACAGAAAACACATCATCTCCTCATGAAGGAAAAGTCTATCCACCTACCGCCATCATCCACCCATTACCATGCTATGGCAAATCTCAACAAGAAAAAAATGAGCACAAAACACTTCACCTCAGACAGTATGACGACGACGGTGACAATGTGAATGACGACAACGACGAATGGCAAAAGACTCACTCACATTGTCAAATGTTGGCATTTGGTGTGGTTGTATCGAAAAAAAAAAAACAAACAAAAAATTCAACAAAAAAAAAAAAATAAAATAATTGAACTGAGAATGTAAAAGAAAAAACACAACGGCTGTTGCCGCCAATGCTGCAGCAGCATCTCACAATTTGGTACACAACAACAGTGGGATTATCACTTTGCCCATTTAACAACAACATTTCAACGAGAAGAGCAGAATTTAGTTTGTTAGCGAGTTTTTGAGTTTAATGATTTGTTGCATTAAATCAAGCAATCACTATGACACTTTAAATCCCACCAACATAAAAGCAACGAAGAACAACAACAACAGAGAGTACTTACAACTTTTCTTGTTGTTGGGAGGACTTTTAAAAATGACACTGATTATGTTGTTGGGGAACAACTTTTTTTGTTGGCTAAAGGTTGACAACAGCCAGCCAACCCAATTGTCGTCAACAATGATGACAACTGCAGTTTACACGCTCAGTTGTTTGGAAAGTGTTGCAACCAACATGCAACGTGCCTTAATCTAAGGTGAATACAGTGTATGAATTAAGATATTACAAGAAATTCGGTCAAAATATATTATATAAGAAGAATAAGCTCGTTCAAATGCAGACTAAATTAGGGCGGGCCAATTTGTATGGAGCCGAAAAAATCGATTAAACCCAGCCCCTAGGATGATTCTATGGACAATTCAAAGCAAGCAATGATTTTTTCCTTATAACATCATTTTGATTCAAAATTCGATTTGTTAAAAATAGAAAAACCATAGAGTCATCCTCGCAAAAAAAAAAAAAAATGGCCCGCTCTAATATGTATATATATTCCAAACTTTACAAGAAATAAACCTGGACAATATAAATTTTGAAAATAAGGGTTTTTGGTCCATTACCCTATAACAAATGTTTCGAACTTTAAATTTATATATTGTTTGGAGCATTGCATCGGCTTCAAACCACAGTATCATAGCCCTGACCACTCTCCAAGACCAATGACGAATGTCTCCACTTTGCTCTGCTTTAAATGAAATGTCATGATCACCATTATCAGGGTACTACCCCAACAATCCTCTTAATCCTGACCAGTTCAAAAAAATGTTTGACATTAATTTTGGGACAAATGAAAGTAAAACTGGTTACGTTCACTACATAAGGTGTCATACACGGGTAATCGGATTGGAAGTGAATTTTAAAGTTATTCAATTAAAAATAAAACAACAAAACAATGAAAAAGATTGAAACAAGTAAAAACTGCATCAAGATGTGCACAAATTCAAATTCATTTAAATGTTCAAAAAGTCAAAATTTTGACTATGTAATTGTAAATTGTCTACTAGTAGGTTCTTCATACTCTGATAATCTAAAATACCAAATTACAGACACCCAAGTAAGTAAACTAGGTGGTATGGTGGGTGGCTATGTAAAAACATGACCCTATTTTGAAACGCATCGAGAAAATATAAAATTCACTAGAAATCTATTGAAGAAAATTAAAGCTTCATTGGAAAAATACTGATAAATAAAACTGCGATTGGACCCAAAGATAACATGGATCTATTTCGAAAAATTGCTGGAAAATATATTTTTTAATAAGACCCAGAATGCCCCGTCATTGGAAAAATGCGGCTAAAACCTTCAAAATATCTAAATTTGGTCGGATACTGTATATCTTTATATTTAAATGAGACGGTGTAAAGTACTTACTTACTTAGCTGGCTTGCTACAGAACGGTTGTTCCATACGCCGAGCTTAAAAAAGATTTCCAAGCGCGTCGGTCTTGTGCAAAATCCACCAATTTGGAAGACCTCGTTCCAAGATGTTGTTTTCTACTAAGTCTTTCCATCTAATTCGTGGTCTACCCCTTCTACGGGAACCATCAGTAGGCTCGTTTTATATGTATTTTGAGCTGGGGCATTCTCATTCATTCACACAACATGGCCTAGCCAACGTAGTCGCTGCTGCTCAATACGACTGACTATGTCGATGTTAGCGTATAAATTGTAAAGCTCATGGTTCATTCGACGCCGATATTCGTCGTTGATGCAGATCGGCCCATATAACTTTCGGAGAATTTTTCTTCCAAACACCCCAGGAGCTGTCTCATCTGCTTGCGCAAGTACCCATGCTTCAGATCCTTATAATAGCACGGGTAGTATCAGCGTCTTGTAAAGTGTGAATTTGGTCTGGCGGGAGGTGGCCTTGTTTCTAAACTGCTTACTTAGACCATAGTAGCATCTGCTGGCCATCACAATCCTTCTCCGAATTTCGAAAGAGATGTCATTCGTTTTATTTATGGCGGTACCAAGGTATATAAAGTCTTTGACTACATCGAAGCTGTAGTTCTCAAATTCCACAGTTGGTCCGATGCTACTGGACATCTTGCGCGTTGATACCATCAGCTTGGTCTTCTCGCCGTTTACTGGCAGACTCCTTTTCAATTTGTTCAAAGGTGGATGTTACCGCTCGCAATGTTCGACCCATTATATCGATGTCATAATGGGGGGTCATACCATGTAATTTTTTTGGTATGTTTAACACCCAATGAGAACCAAATAAGAGAAGCAATAAAAAAGTGCCCAAAATCCTCAAAATACCGACCAATATAATTTTGTTTTATTAGGAAGATGTGTCATTCAATGAAAGCTCAACATTCGAAATGATTGGCAATTTTATTAAAACAAACTCCCCAAAATACCGAATAATGGGGAGTACCGTTATATGGGGGCTATCCTAATAAGTGGTATCATTTTTGGTACGTCAATGTACCAAATTAATTTCAATTCTTTTAAAAAACTATTGGGACCATTCCAAAATGATATTTCCCAGACTAAATAATAGAAATGTTTGGAAATGTTAACAGCCATTGGCCTATTAAGAGTGGCACTCTTATTGCATTCCAGACACAGGTCCACATTTTGATGAAATGAAATTTTAGGACAATGGTAACAACTGATACCTTCATTGTATCCCGCAAATGGTATATATTCTTGATATCAGTTTATGCATATATCCATCTGCGAAAGTGATCCGTACTATGCGTATTATTTTATTATATCTATTACCTACTTTCCCCGCCTTCTACATAAACACTTCCAACAGTGACTGTTATCTGCTTAATACTCAACTCTTTGAAAACACACAATTAAGGGGACCCCCCCCCCATTCTCGGGGTCAAAAATTTTGTTGCTATAATTAGAATCTACACTAATTAATAAATGTCCCTACAAAATTTCAAGTGAAAATCTCAAGAACTCTTGAAGATATAGCCGATTTATTGTGTCAGCATCAGGTGACGGCTGAAGGGCTTCTCAAACTTGAAACGCGTTTTTCTCTAAACATTTTTTTGTGAATGGCGGGCACGATAACCCAAAAACTAGTAACCCAATCGATTTCAAATTTTTACACGTTTCACTGCGAGTGTATAGCTATCGTATGAACTAGGATAAAGCCAATCGGTGAAGATCTTCCTTATTTTTTAACTTGGTTTTTGGTAAAAAATCGGCGATTTTCCACAAATATTTTTTCAAAGGTCCACCATTTTGTTAATTTTAGAGCGAAGTCAATAATCCTAGTTCATACGAGAGCCAGACATGTACTCTTTCTAACACCGTTGGAATTTTCGGATTCCGATGTTCCAGTGAGGAGTTATCATGCCCGCCATCAAAAATAAGGACTTTTCTTTAATTACAAAAAACAACAACAAAACAATAACAAAAATTTTTTGTAAATTATTTTTTTTCTCTTTTAAATCTTCAATTATATATGTGCAAAGTTACAAACCTTAACAAGCATTGGTATTGATTTACCAGCCCATTGAAAGTCTTGAAAAATTAAAATCGAGAATGGGTGGGGTTCCCTTAATTAAAATAACAACATAATTAAAAAAATAGATATTTCTATTTAACAATAATACATACTTCATTAACAAAAAATTTATATCCTTTCTCAATGCATTTCTTCAATTTAATTTTTCTTTCTTTTCCTTTCAGACGTCACATTTGCGTGCAACAACGTACCATAACAATGCCCGTCAAGACAACCGAAGTCTATAGCCGACCAATTTGGAAACATGTCAGTACACCGTGTCAGCCGCAAACGCATGCAAATCAAATGTGCACACGCGTCCAGTTGGTGCACGAACAGGCCTATCGCGATGTCATACGTCACAAATCGGCGCAACAGGTCATATACGATTGCTGTACGGGTTGGATGCGTGAATCACCGCATGCGGATGGTTGTATGAAACGTAAGTAAATTGAAAAAAGCTAAAAGAAAAAAAACAAACAAAGACCCTCCATGGACAACTAATTGAACATAGAGTTTAGTTAAATATGTCCATATTACTCTGCCATGGTAAGACGAGACAAGTCTTGACATTTATGTCGGCGCGACTAGGATATTGTAAAAGTTAACATATTAAAATTGCATTTAATTTAATCACATTTGCATAAATGTAACAACAACACAGGCGTACATACATATGTTTTTTTTTGGTATTTGCATATGTAAATCATATATGGTAAAGAAAATGGATTAACTTGTTTTATGCGAATCTTAGAAAAGTGAAAGGATCGATTATGTCATGATAGAGGAAGGATTGAATTCGCCGTTTTAATTCATTTAGTTATGGATATTTAAAAAAATGACTTGAGGGATTTAACACTGCAAATGTCAATAAATTTCACCAGGATCCGCCATGATGTCTAAAAATACCAATGGATAGAAATATTGGCAAACCTACTTAGTCTATGGAAGATTCAATGGCATTTCAAGTTTTGAAGACCCAATGGGTTTTTTCTGAATGTGTATCTAACGGACACTTCGTTATGCGCAAACTCCATAGTCTCCTATTATCGTATCATCGGTTCGTATTCCTTTGCTAGGCACAATTTTCGATAGAAGTGTTTGTAATTTGTCATTCCAGGTACAGGTCCACGTTTTTGTCCATAGCACACATACAAGCGCCCACCAAGTTTTATGAATTTTGATAGTCACAGCCGCATTTTCCTACCGAAATGTATGTTATTCGTTTTCTATTTCGTGTAACGGCTTCACCCAAATATTTAATTATAAATTAATTTTTTGACAAAGCCCCCATAGACAAGTCTCGGTCTTTATTAGGTATTATTGTGTTCATAAGCGCATTTATAATCGAAGTGACTAAGTGAATTTCGTATTCTTAGTCAATACAAAAATTCTTCGCAGAAAATGTTTTACTTCCCTTTTTTGACATAGGCCCATTTTAACGACCCATCCTACCTTTCAAATATGTCTTTTCAATTTCCAATTTAAAAAAGTAAAAAAGTGTCAGTCGGTATACCCTCACCCTATTTTTTGCGGTGGAGGTCTTCGAATATTGGACCCATAAATATTAAAAATGTTGACCCCTTTTTGGGGGAGGTACCAGAAGGAGTGGACCGATGAGTCCCATCTTCAATCCTGATTTAGGCTTGGTTAATAGAATATCTTGTGCAAAGTTTGGTGCCAATCGGACATTCCATTCGCCTGATATTGGATTCATAAATATGAAAAATTTAGACCATTTGTGTGGGAGGTACCAGTATGAGTGGAAAAATTAATCCCATTTTTAGGCTTGATCTAGATTTGTAGAGGATAATATGATGTGCAAAGTTTGGTTTAAATCGGACATTCCAATCGCCTAATATTGGATTCATAAATATTAAAAAAATTGACCCTTTGTGGGGGAGGTACCAGAAGGAGTGGACCAATGGATCCCATCTTCCTAGCTGATATAGGCTTGGTAAAGATAATATGTTGTACAAAGTTTCGTTAAAATCGGATAGTCCGTTTGCATGTTATTATAAAATTAATTTTTAGCACAATTTTGTGGGGGAGGTACCAGAAGGAGTGGACCAATATTCCCCATCTTCGAACATAAACATAGTGTGGAAGAAATATTATGTGCAAAGTTTGGATGAAATCGATTATTCTCTTCGAGAGTTATCGTGCGCACCAGCCAGACCGACAGACGGATAACGAACAACGGACGGACATGTGTAAATCGACTTCTGAAACGGATTTGGTCCAAAGAAACATGGGGTCTAAAACCAATATTTCGTATCAAAGTGTATGATACTTTCACCGTTTCAAAGTGTATATACCCTAATAAGCTATTTGACTGAGGGTATAAATAGTAGTTTGTCATTCCGGGGCCTTGGAGGATAAAAACTCATATTACGAACGATTTTAAATGTAGGTTCAAGTTTTTATTAAACACAAAAAAAATTTAAATGTGACACAGCCCTCATATACAAGTCCAGAACTATTTTAGGTCTGCTGAAATTTGTATATAACATCCACACCATGTAGATACCCACACTGCTGCAAAAAAAATTAAAACAAATCCAAGCTAAAAAAATCAACTTTTTTGGTGTTTAAAAATCAAAAATTCCTTAAAAATCCAAACTTATGAGACTATAGATTGCCTATAATACACCTGAATAATTTCATACCTAATGAATGTCTCCTTAGTATTTTATTCGTGTTTTATTTATAGACGACTTCATTGGTGTTATTTTTATAGAACACAACCATGGTCTTCTATCCTTAGTATTATATCAGTAGAACTCCTTAATAATTCGGAATACCATCATAGTCTTCTATGGTCTTCTATACTTGGTCACCAATCACCAGTCTACGTCCTTGAACGGCTATATGTGAAAAATTGGTATTATATCTACCTCCTTGTCATTTTTTAAGTTGTCCTGATTGGCATCCTTTATATGAAAAACATTTTGGTTTGGCCTATCTATTATAGTATTCAATACGTTTCTATCTAAATAAAGCCCTTTTCTATCTAAAATGGTGCTTTTCTCTTCTAGGTCTTCATTTAAAAAAGTCCTAAAAAACTAACACATTGAATGAAACTATTCCCCTTTTATTATTGTTAGCTATTCACAATAGTTATATTGTTCATAAATTGAGCCATCCTAAAAGTATGCTATAGAATTTGAAATTTGTTATCCAAAGCATAACGTGAGCATGTTCACACTGGTAGTTATAATATGTAACAGACTTGTAGATAATTTGAAAGAAATGAACTTAAATTTAATTATTTGAATATTGTATTTGAATTTATATTAAATGTTATCTTTTTTAAATTTTGTTCTCTCTCTGTTTTGTCTATGCAGCTGTTTGTATGGCCCGTTGTCAAAATGGTGGCACCTGTAGCGGTCATGACTCCTGCACTTGTCCAGCTGGTTTTAGTGGACGTTATTGTGAAACGGATATTGATGAATGTATAGAGGAGAAACCCTGCGATCAAACGTGTATCAATACAGTGGGCTCATATTATTGCAAATGTCGTGATGGCTTCACATTGCAAGCCGATCAGCAGAGTTGTAAGAAAAATGGTAAGTTATTCGAAGCCAATCCAATTCTACACAAATAATAATTGTTAAATTTCTTCAGATTTACACAAGGACGATGCATTCGAGGCCAGAGACTTGGAGAATGAAATTGAGCCACAGGAAGATATCACAGCACGATTGCAGAAAATCGAAAAACAATTAGCCAATGAAAAGGTGCAAGCGAATGAATTGCAAAAAACCCTACAGTCCACATATACAATGGTCGATTCGTTAAAGAATCGTTTAATCAATTTGGTGAGATATAGAACAAAATTATAATTGGATTAAATAAATCTAAAAATTTCTTTCCAGGAAAAACAACAAATGGACTTTCATCGTTTACAAACGAATCTCTATAACACGGAGTCGCGTACAATGAAATTGGAGGGTATGGTGAACCTGTTAATGAAATGTCGAAATAATGTGGGACCAAATGCCCATTGCCCTTAAGTTGCCGCTGCTATAACCAAGAATTAATTGATTGGATAAAATTAGTTTTAATTAAAAAAAACTTTCCACACACATGAAAATACACCCCCAACAGAACTGCATTTTATTTATTAAGATTTTTTTTAAAATTAAGCTTGATACTAGATTTACTACCACACACAAAACAGCATTTTCTTCTTTTGAAGGAATCTCAGCATTCATTGTTATTATTAACCTTCTTTCTATTGTATTGCTGTCTACGTAGTTTTTTTTTCTTTTTATTTCATTTTGAGCTTTCATAAATTTTTATATCGTTTTTGTGTATTGTACTTAGACTTTGTTTTTTATTGTGGCATTCCCTTTTTTAACTCTAACATTGAATGAAAAAATATATAAAACACAAATGCATGAAATGTAACAAGTCTAAATATGTATTTCTTAAAAAGTGAACATTTTGCGTTTTTTGTATGCATGCTGATAGAATTTAAGCGATCGACTTAGAGAAAACTAATATCGAATTTCAATTGTAAAAAAAAAAACATTTGTCTTCTTTGTTTTATAATTCCAAATTCGTTAAATCGAAAAACAAAAGCTTTTATATATGCCTAATTTTATAAGGATATGATCTAATTTTTAACGTATTTAAATGTAAATATTTAAATAAAGTTAATTTTAATTGTTTAGAATAAAATAAATATGATGTGTTTTTTATTTTTCAATACATAAATAAAAGTAAACTAAAAAAATACATGAAAAGAACACCTAAAAATGAACCAAAATACAAGTAGCTGCCCTATGTCCTCAATAGCCTCACGAGTTCTATTTTATGGTCATGAATTGACGCTGGATTGTTGGCGTATCTTTCACGAGGTATCAACGGATGAAGTTGCAAGGTCTTAAACAACAAAATATCCATAACCTCTTCAAAAGATACATAATACGATTAGAAAACATTTCATGCAGAAGTGCTATGGTTTCGTCCCTTGAGTGGCACTTAATATCTAAAGTCCTATTAAAGTAAACTATCAACTCCGACCATAAAAATCATTGTTTCATACTCATTATAGAAAATGTAACACCCAATGAACCCGCTGCGGCATTAACAGTTGAGTATGGAGAGACTTCTCAACAATAAATCATGTGGTTTTCGAGGCCCAAATGGCCGCTATGTCAACATATGGATATATTATACATATTCGCAAATACAGCCGACGCCCGGTATAACGAATATTCAGTTTAACGAGTTCGGCATATAACGAATGAGCAAAATAGTCGACTTTTTACACTAACTATTGCATATAACGAACGTTTTCCACATTTATATACTGGGTATAACGAATAGCGCAAAAAAAAAATGGGATAGCCTATAAAAAATATGTAAAGACGTTATTACTACTGTTATTGGGTTAATTATTATTATTATTTTTTTATTTTTGTTTTTGAGAAATCCATTGATTAACATTTTCATTTTTAAATAAAATTCCACCTTAGAAAACTTCGATATTTTTTTTAATTAATGGGCCTGTATATCATTCGTTATACCGCAAATGAGCGACATTTATCCACCATACGAAATTAAAACAATTTCTTTGGTCCAAATATGTGCTTAGAATCATCGAAATACATGCCTTAAATGGCGCAGGACCCTTATTTGATACTAAATATTTTAAATTATAGACAACTATTGAAGAAGTTTATTCTCTGACCCAAAATGTCTACCAATAGCCGCATGGATAATGAAACTGGAAATATATAAATATTTAAAACAGAGGACATTCTTACATGGCAAATTGTCTGCAATGATGTTTTTCAAATGTCAAATTACAGGCAATTCGGTTGGAAAATTAGCCCAGAACCACTAATATGCATTAAATGGGACCGAGAGTTATGTCCAAATAAAAACCTATATTTAAAAGGCTATTCAAGTAAACCCTTTACCCTCCCTCCAAGAGCCCGAAATATAAAATTACAGCCACTTAGAACTAATACATTAAAAATACCCCTAAGGGGAACGGAACCTTTATATTGGGGTTATGTTATAACATGGATAATTTTCTATGAATATAATTTCCAGCACTAAAAAAACCCGAAATTCCTAAATCCATTCATTTGGATGCAAAATAAAGTAAAATCTCCAAATATTTGATATGGGACAGGATGGAAGTTTTGGACCTATATTCAAAATTTATAGCAAGAACTCGGAAAATCAAATTATAGTTGAAAAATCCTTCAAAAATTCGTTATAATATCTAACATATGGCAAGATTTGTTAAAACCCTAACTTGGGCCAGATGTATTGGTCCAATTTTAATTTTAACTTCTTTCGATCAAGGATATATAGGCATAAAAGAAATTTTTATCGAAAAAAAACTCTCCCTTAGATAAAACCATATATTATTCATTCAAACCAATGGTATAATGAAAATGAAGTAAAATCTCCAAATATTTGATGTAGGACAGGACCCTGTATGGAAGTTTTGAAACAGTATTCAAAATTTACAGCAAAGATATATTTTACCCACCAAGAACTCGGAAAGTGAAATTACAGTCTATTACAGAGCTATTTTTGTAACCCCAATATCGGACCAATATATCTCAGTTTTATTTTGAACTTTTTTCGTTCAAGAATATATTAGCAAAATGATAATCAAAGAATTTTTTTGGGGAAAAAACACCTCTCCCGTAGATAAACCAATTGTACAATAATACAGGGTAGGGCAGCTTGAGGTGAATAACAAAAAAGCAACTATGCACGTGTGGCCTCTTCTGCCAAAAATAAAATAAATATACGCAACAAGTGTTTGTGTTTATTTCACAGTAGAAAATACTCTCTTGCGTGACAATTTCATTGACGAAACGTTGACGAAATTTATGGAATTGTCATTCATGACTTAACACATGATATGTCGTCGAAAATGTCGTTCTTCTCGAAATATGAAAACAAAACAAAAATAGTCTGAATTGAGTGTATTATGAATTATTGACAGAAACAAATAGAAAATTTCTCTGAAAATATATACAGTGGTGGTCACAGAAATAGAACATTTACTGTGGTAAACATTTTTTGATGAGCCCTCGAATCATTTGAAGTATTTTTGAATTTTTTTTAATTCAGACTGATATATTTTTTGATAAAATATATTCTGTACTACTCGAACAATCGATTTGATATAATAAATACCAATATCAAATCCATATTTTCTCACATACTGCACAAATATTCCGGCCTTTCCTTTAGGTTAATTCCCATTTTTTGAGTTTTTATTTCAAATATTTATTTATTTTGAGAATTATTTATTGTTTTCAACTAATTCTAGCAATTTCTGGTGCATTCGGACCTTTATTTTCTATAATAAGGGTGATTTTCTGAATGTAAGGTGTACTGTACAAAGTTTTAGCAATTTTGATTGATTTTACTGATTTTTTCAAAAATTGTTATCTGTAAATGATTTTATCGTTGCTTAGTTTACATAATTTAACTAAATTATAGAGCTTTTTTAAAGATATTTTCCAAAAAATGCAATAATGTAAAAAATCACACAATGTTTTAATTATGTGGCCACTTCACAGTCGATATATTTTCATAAAAACCGTTATTTATGGAAAAATTGCATGCAATAATTTTCTATTTTCACACTAAATCTCTTAAGTGCAGTATATCGAAGTGTTCTGAATTAAAAAAAAATTCAAAAATACTTCAAACGAATCGAGGGCTGATCAAAAGATTTTTACCACAGTAAATGTTTTAATTCTGTGACCAACACTGTATAAGAAATTTAGGATAAAGAAGACGTGTTTTCTTGGTTAAAATAGGTAAGTTTAACTGAATATATAATTATTTGTATCATTATTTAAATGATTTCTTTCTTACTCTTAGGATGGGGCAAATAAATTGCAATTGGTAGAATATTGTAAGTAATATCTGAAGGATGTTTCAAATTTTAATGCGTTTTAATGTTGTTGTTTCATTACAGATTATGTTAAAATGGAGAAAATCATCTCGACAACTTCTCAGGCAATGTGTTTATTTATATTATTATAAACGTAAATACAATGTATATTTCTTGTTATATAATAAATTACATGCTATAAAAAATATAAATTTAAAATGTATATGTATATCTTAATTTGAATTTTTAATGGGGTATGATTGATGACAATGGGTATTCAGTCGTCAACGACTGTGTAAACGACATTGTCGATGATAGTCGTCAACAAAAAGTAGGGAGTTTTGTCGCCGAAGTTGTCGTTAACGACATCTTCGCTTACCCTGTCGCCCAAGTTGTCTTGCATGACTACTGCGACACTTGTGTGAAAATTTCGTCAAGGATCTCACATTGTTGTCTGCAAAGTGTCTTCAAGGAATTGCCATTGTCTTGCACGATTCGTTAATGTTGTCTGCAAGACACTTTCTACTGGGATGCAAAACAATACACACATACATAAAATATGTATTTTGATTTGATGGAACAAGCCACCCTGAGAAAAAATTGTAATCCGTTGGTAGCTGTGCCCTACCTTGTAATAATTATACCAAGGATAAACCCATCTATTATCCTTTCAAACCAATGGTATGGTATTTGAAAAATTCAAATTCTAATATTCCATATTTTTGTACGTTAATTCGTTAATGAAGCCTCAAATCTACGATACGACATCCACTATCTACGATACGACATCCACTAATCAAACACAACAGACATCAGCTGATGAGCACTCCCATCCGACCAGATGATGACTAACTAAACCACAGCCAACGTCACATTTATTATGATGATATAAAAGACACACAAAAACAAAGAATACCAGAAAAAATAAAATGAAAAACAAAAATACACTAAAATAATTAAGAAAAAACACAAGACGATAAGAATAAAATGTGCAATTAATGTAAAAGAAAATCGAAAAATTAGAACATGAAAACAAATTAAACAAAAAAGTGTTTTTGGATGTAAATAAAACACAAGCAGAGCAAAACAGGAATTGAACAATACAAAAACAAAAAGAGGAGAAAATACCATAGTATTTAAAAGTGAAATCGAACACAGCAAATCTTTGTTGTGTCTCCAACGTCGTAGTTAATATTGAGTGTGGAGTGTACGACACAAAACGTTTCGCAATTTTCTATACAGAGAAATATATTTGAAGCCCCAAAGCAGGAAAAGTAGCACCCAACTTTGTGACCATGACACCAGCCATTGACAAAATTCCTTTAAAACAGGCCGAAATCGCCGTACGACGTTTCAATGACATGGCCATACCCCATCATTTGGGTTTGCTGAAGAATCATCATAGCAACATTGAGAAAAGTCTCGCTTTGGGCGATTGGAATAAAATCAAAAAAGAAGAGATCAATGCGATGCGGGTAATAAAACAAATAAAAAATCTACTACTCGAAATGGATGCACTGAGGGAAAAGGTGCGGGATGATGATTTGGAACGTTTCGATGCCATGATGGAGGAGGGGAAACAGAAGGCATTCGATGGCATGAAAGAATATTTGGGTAAGATAATGAATACGAGCAAATATGCGGTTGTTTTCACTGAGGAAAGACAATTGTGTTGATTTGTTTTTTATAACAAACAATAAATTTATAGATAATATTGATAGGGTCAAGTTCGTTAAGACATTTCTATGGTCGGTCATTTAATTCGAGATTGTAAAGAGTGTGATGGGAAATGAAATGTGACATCTCGTTTGCAACACCTCGAATTATTCGTTGGAGACCTCCAATTCGGTATGTCCGACTGCCTTTTGAAATCACTATAGAATTTTTGAAAATAGTATATATCGGTCAAAGCTATAGATGACATTTTAAGTTTCTTTTTTTTTAAGCAAAGTGACTTTAATGATCTAGCCGAATTTTCCTACCGAAAATTTACAATGTTTTTACATAGACCCCCAAAAATATCCACTTGCTTTACAAGAGACCCTTCCAAAAGGTTCATAATCAAAAATTAATTGGTGAAAATTGGCATGAAGTAAATTAAACGTACCAACTGCAAACAACATAAAACAAGGGGATGTATCGATAATCTTCATAGGAGATGCAGACAACTTAATATGTTGACTTAAATTTTGCTGTTGACATGTTTGCGATCGGGTCATCCCTACCCATCAGACTGTAATGGCTCATTCGACTCTATTCTGGTATAACTATGATCCGAGTAAGCAATGTCATCAATAGCTAACAGGTGATTTTTCTGATTATGGTCCATAACGGATAGGAAATCGTGCAGAAAATGGTTAATATAGTTCGGGGTTTTATTATAACAATTATATTCAGTGAGGGTAAATTTACAACTCCTATTTTGGTTATACAGACCGTATGAAAAGGATATATATTTTATTACAAATAAATTTAATTATAATATTTAATTAAAAACTATTTTTTGTGCTTTTCTAGAATTACAATTGAAATCACCAACAAACACATTACGCTCCCAAGGACCCTACGAAGAAGATGACGTCGAACAGCATTTAAATGAAACCGTTGAAATAGGACAAACCCAAGCATACCATCAAACACTACCAGAAATACGCACTAACTTTTCACAACAGGAACATATTCTAGCACAACGACAATCCTGTTTAGATGAATTACAAAATTTACAAGAAGAAATACGCGACCTAAATGGTTTGTTTCACAATATGGGTGAATTAGTTCATCAACAAGCCGAAAGTGTACAAGCAATTGCCGATAATGCCGAAGAAGCTTTAGAAAATGTCCAGGCAGGTGAAAGTGCTTTACGTAAAGCACTATCCTATAAGAAGGCAATGTATCCTGTTATGGGTGCACTATTGGGTACTTGTGTCGGTGGACCAATTGGTTTGGTAGCTGGTCTAAAGGCTGGCGGTTTAGCAGCTGTCGGCTGTGGCATATTAGGCTTTACCGGGGGTAGTGTTCTAAAAAGTAACCCCGCCATATTACAGGGTAACATTGAAGAGGAACAACAACAACAAACTTCAGAAAATTCCGAACAAACCCAGGAGGAAATCGAAATGACAAAAAAGGAAGACTGACAAATGGAGAATTATAATCAACCGATGACAGTGTGGTCGGCGGCAACGCGCCAACTAATGAATTTCCAGGGTACAACTGCAAATCGTTTGGATCCAGTGGCCCAGGCCACTACCGGTGTATTGTGCAGTGTTAAATCTTATTGTACCATACAGTAGATTGAACAAAGCCCCTAAATAAGATGGGTGTGTAATTTCTACTGGATTATTATTGTTTTGTTTATTTTTTATAAGTTATTATAATATTAGACTAAGTCATATTTATATTATTAAAACAAAAAACCAATTAAAGTTATACAACAAACGAACGAATTCCAAAGTTTGCTTTTTTTAAGTCTATAAAGGTAGGAACTGAATTGAAATGTCGTTTGTAGAAAAGTAGATCTAATTCCAACCATGTATACATTTGTTGTTATTGAATAAATAGATTAATCATACATTGCAGATTGCATACAAAAACACGTACATATAAATATTTAAAGTTGATAAAGAACCTTTGTTTTTTTAGCACGTTAGCTAGTGATGTTGTTCATATTTAATTTATTGTATTTTGTAAGAATGTAGCTTGCAAATTTAGCTAAAAGGTTTTAATTTTTTTTTTATCGAAACTACTGTTATTACTCCCCCCATATGTAATATGATCAATCAATACCACGTTGTAAATTATTAATAAATAAATGTGAGAGTGTTTGTGTCCATTTTATTAACATTCAACAATAAATGCCTTTTGTTGTTCCCTTTTAATGAAAAAATTGTTTCTTTTTTCTTTGTTTTTTGTTTGTCTTCTTATGTTTGAAAATGAGAACAATAAGTCAGTAGTATTCTGGGCCGACTTATCAATGAATGGAATGTAGTTTGTACATACATAGTTAAATTAGATGGGAATATAAATATGTACTTACCCTCATTATTATTCTTGCATTTTCTTTTGCTTATTTTAAATATGGCACATGATTATGGTATATTGCTTATGAATGATGAGGGTGATGATGAGTTTTTGATATTTGCATTGAATTCTAGCAAATTAAAAAAGAAGGAAAGCAATAATTAGAACATTTAGTTTTTTTAATTATTATTTAAAAAATCAATGCATTGAAAATGACAGACCATTTAAAAATTGTTTTTATAAATAAAGCTTTTAGTTCATTTGTTCCCCTAAATATTAACCGATCATTACCATAGGTGTCGTCTTTGGCCAGAACCGAATTTAGTGACGATTTGTCCATGTACACACCGACTTAGCTAGTCAACGATTTTTTGAAAATCGCATATCTCGTCCAAAAACCAAGCTGAAAACCAGTAAGAAAAGTTCAAAAGTTGAACGGGGCCGACTATATTATACCATTCACCACTTTGGGTACATACAAGAATGGCCATAGGAAAATATCCTTTAGAGAGGATAGAAATGGAATCGGACGATCTTAATTAAAACAACCCATACCAATCTGAAATTTGTGAAAAAAAAAATGAATGTCAATCATCGACCGAGATATGTAAAAGATCTGTATCCAAAATTTACCTCGACACAAAATTCAATACAAAACTTGACATGCATCAATCTAACCTAACTCTGTACTCTGTGCAAAATTTTGTTTCAATCGGACAAACATTTATAGTATGGTGCACCATTTACATAAATAGGAGGAAACTATATATAAATAGGAGGAATCTATATATATCTAAATCTGCAAAGATTTCAACAAAACTTCGTATACATCAATCAGTGCCTAATTAAAACTCTGTGCAAATTTTGTCTTAATCGGACCAATATGGTGCTCCATTTACATAAAATCGGACGAAACTAGACAGATTTAGATATACCTCCCATAGTATATCTAAATTTGAACCGATTCCACCAAAACTTCACATACATCAATATGGGCCTAATTCGATACTCTGGTCAAAATTTTGTCTCAACCGAACAATCGAACATAAAATTGGACGAAACTATATATGGGAGCTATATCTAAATCTGAATCGATTTTTTCCAATTTCAATAGGGTTCGTACTTCGGCCAAAAAAGTGGGCTGTGCCAAATTTCAATCCAATCGGATCATAATTGCGACCTGTACTTGGCTCACAAAAAAATACATGCACGGACGGACGGACATGCATATATCGACTTAGAAAGTGATTCTATGCATATTCTCAAAAGGAACCATGTGTCTATGGCGTTTCCTCTTGTATGTTACCGGCATATGCAAAAAGACATAATAATACCCTGTACCATAGTGTGTTGAAGGTTATAGATACGGAATATCTTGACCGATTACATTTATCTTAGTTTATACTATAGCTATGTAGAACCAGAATAACAAGTTAACATTTGAAACGAATTGGGTTATTAGTTTTGAAGTTATCGTACTCTCCATTGAGATTTTCGCTTGAAATATTAAGGAGATATTCTAGAGTTCTAGAGAAGTTATATATAGGTCAAAATAAATAAAAATAGAAAAAAATCGATTTTTTTGAAACTAAGAATTGGAGAGTCCCCTTTAAATCGAGCTGAAAGATGTTATGTTTTTACAAAGCTCAATATTTCAGCTTATACAATTTGTATATTGAGCCGATATTCTAGAATTTCATTAAAAGACGTCACTCGATCGGTCACTATTCTTTATGATATCCTCTCATGTTATTTTATCTTAATGGGTATACTTTGCACCGGAAAACATTAACGCTTCAACATCCTTAAAAGGGGTTACGGTTTAAAAATTCTCATGTGTGAAAACTATAAACCAACAAAAGAAATATAACTCTTTTAAATGTAGAAATCTCATACGTATTGATTTCAATACAATTTCAAAATCATCAAGGTAAGAGCCCTAAAATTAAAAAGTTAAAAAAAGTTAAAAAGTTACAGAATAGGCCTACTGTTTATAATTTTGGGAATAGTTACCGACGTAAAGAAACATTTCAAGTGTGTATTCATAATAATGTATGAATTGTGAAAATATCTCTTCTCTTCCATTAGTTGAAATACGCTAACATTTTACATTCTCAATATTTATTTACTCAAATTATAGAATTTCTTAAGTTATATAAAAATTTCAAATACAAACATTTCTTTTGTATTATCTGCGTAACTAAATTAACTTAGCCTAATACGATGATTTCCCTTTTTGGAAATCACATCAAAATCCCTATGGAAGTTATATGATAAATAATATTCCATATGAATATAGTTGGAGGATGTTGAATTGAAATAAAGACTTACAATCTAAATTTAGTATTCACAGCTTAATTGTAAAACGATGAATGCTGCTTAAAATGCCAGCCCACCAAACATTTTAGAGAGGAACATTTGTTACCGTCCATGTTTGCTTAAATCTCTTGGTACGGGCATGATCCCTCTTGCGAATACGTTTAGCTGTTTTCTTGGGTTTATACCATGGTGGATACGAGCCATGTTGATCTTTAAGAGTTTTGCTATTGTAGATATGGACTTTGCCGGTTTTCTCATTGACAACGGTAATGTTTTCACCCTTTTCACGTTGTTCTTGGAGTTCATGTTCCAATTCGGCTTCTTCTTTTGTTTTCTTTTCCTACAAGAAACAAATTACGTAGAATATTATTTTAACATTATTTAATGTTAAGTTTTTGTGTATAACTTACAATTTTCAATTCCTTGGCAGTTTTAACGGTGGCCACCTCTGAGAGCTCCTTCATATCTTCATCTGTGTCCATTATACCAAGAGTTTTCTTTAACCGTGCCAATTCCTTGACATCATATCGTGCCTTTTTGGCCTTGCTCATTTCTTCGCGGCGTTTACGTGATCTATTTGTACGACCCATGTTGAATTATTTTTTAATTATTCACAATTTTATCGAATTTTTCTCAATTTTTAACACGAATTTTCAACGTTTCCCACTAAACACGTGTAGAGTTGTTTGCCAGGCCGTTCAAATGAAAACAACAGATGTCATTTGACAGTTGTTGTCATATTTGTTTAGAGTTGCCAGAAAACGTTAAATGCGTCTTTCAAAACAGCATTGCCATACATTTTGAAATACACTGGAAAAAATTTACATTAACTAAATTTAAGAAATTCAAAACAAAAATGGCTTTAATTTCTCCAATTTTCAACTAGGAAAATTAATCGAATACAAATGGTCGCCAATAATATCAATTTTATTTGGTTGTTGTGTTGCTTTTGAAGGATTTCGACACTTTTAATAGGTTTCTGCTTTCAAAACCTCAAAATATTCCCCAGAGATACCAAAAGAAGAGTAAAGTGATTGAATGATTCACTGAAAACGACTGAAGCTAGAATCTTGAAATTTGGGGTGAGGGTTACTCTTGGTCCAGAGGTGTCAGATAAGGCTGGATTTTCGTAAATTTGTTCTAGAATGGCACGAAAAGTTCTAAATGTGATACCATTTGTATTTGGCCAACAGGTAGAGTTAGAACTCTTGAATTTGAAAAGAGAGTCAGTGATGGAGTGTAGAATAGATGTAGCAAAGGGGGTTCGAACTTTAAGTATCCGAAAAGTAGTAAAATATACCAAAGTTGGCACAATTTCGTAGCATGTGAATGGATAGAGCTAAAAGCTTGAAATTTGGAATGCAAATTAAGGTTGAAAGGTTGTTGTTGTTGTAGCAGTTTGTATGAATTGCATGTTTTCTGTTATGTTTCCTCCAGTTCTGTCTCCAGATTCAGAAATGCAGCTACCTCCACTGGCTGTAACCACAGATCTTCCGGAGTGAGGTGAGTAGGTTTGGCTGGGCAATTGAACAAGTGCAGTGTGGTATGAGGGCCTGTACCACATGCTGGGCAGACATCCTGCACCTGGTCATCAATCCGTGCCCAATACGAATTGAGCCGACTGCACCATCCAGAACGTAACTGAGCCAAAACTACTCTGGTTTGTCTAGGCAGCTGACGTTCTTCAGCTGCTATGGGTGGGGGGTGAGCTCCGAGGACGGCATTCACTTTGTAACCGTTCAGCGCTGCGGCTACTGCATCTGTATGAATGCCATTCAGACCTGCTCGATAGGCAACTTGATCTAGAGGCTCCCTTTTGTATCGTTGGACCTCTCTCTCTAGATCATGCAGATCCTTCCTGACACGCCTGGGTGGGGGAGTCCTATCCACCATATGATGGTTGGGATGATCGTCCCTGAAACACCCGAGCAGGTACTGCAACGAAAGCATATTGCTATGCTGACGTACGGGAAGGATCTTCGTCTCCTCATGAAGATGGTCCACTGGTGTCATGAGGAGGCACCCTGTCGCTGTCCTCATGGCGGCATTCTGACAGGTCTGAATATTTCTCCATTGCGTATCACTAGAATTCGCAGACCACACTGGAACCGCATAGCTAGCCACAGACCGACCTATCGCTTTGTAAGAGGTCAACAAGGTTTCCTTATCTGCGCCCCAAGTGCTGCCGGCAAGCGACTTGAGGACCTTGTTCCTACTTTTCAACTTATCGCAGATAGCTGTGGTTTGCGCGGACGATTTAAACATGCTGTCGAATGTGACCCCAAGTATTTTGGGGTAGTTGGTGGTCGGAATTGTATGCCCCTCGACCTGCACATTCAACGGCATTCTCATCTCCGCAGTCCATGTGGTGAATAGTGTGGCTGACGACTTCGAGGCGGATATTTTCATATTCCTCGCTTTGAAGAAGGCTGCCAAATCGATAAGATAGGCGTTCAACCTCACACATATGTCTTCAACAATGGGACCCGACGCCATAATCGTACAATCATCTGCATACGTAACGATTTCAATGCCGTCCGGAGGGTGTGGAATACCGGAAAGGTAGAGGTTAAACAGTTCCGGAGAAATCACTCCACCCTGGGGAACTCCCTGTTTAACTCTACGGGGTTTGGACTTCTTGTTCCGGAACTCCACGTACGACTGGCGTCCACACATATAGTTGATTATCCAACGTTTCAAACTCGGTCGGAGGGAAGTGTTCTCTATGTCCTCAAACAGCGTGGCATGGTTGACAGTATCAAAGGCTTTTGATAGGTCAAGCGCTACCAACACTGTTCTATCGCACGGCCGGTTCTGGTTAAGTCCTCTACTTATATGCGTGGAAATGGCGTGCAACGCTGTTGTTGTACTGTGTTGCTTACGGAATCCATGTTGATGATCCGCAACTGGATAGCTTTCTCTAATGCTGGGGAGGAGTAACGCCTCAAGAGTCTTCGCTACTGGCGACAAAAGTGAAATCGGCCTGTACGATTCACCTTTGCTGGCATCCTTGCCCGGCTTCAGTAGCGGGACCACCCTGCCCATAGTCCAGGCTTCGGGGACGACGTGGGTGGCTATCGACAAGTTGAGGACGTTGGTTAAGTACTCGACTCCTGGCTCGTCCAGCTGCTTCAGCATACACATGGATATTCCATCTGGGCCCAACGCTTTTGATGACTTCGCGTTACGGATGACACATGCAACATCACCCATTGTAAGGTAGGGAGTTGTTGTTGTAGCAGCCCTATTGCTTTTACACAATGGGCTGAGGTGACAGACGTTGGCCGAGTAAGACTCGGGTCGTTTCGGATCTTAGACCCCTCTGTCGTCGACATCAATTGATCTTGTACCGGAGTAAGGTGAGTAGGTTTGGCTGGGCAAGGTAGGGAGTGGTATAAGGCATATTGCTATGCTGACGTACGGGAAGGATCTTCGTCTCCTCATGAAGATGGTCCACTGGTGTCATGAGGAGGCACCCTGTCGCTGTCCTCATGGCGGCATTCTGACAGGTCTGAATATTTCTCCATTGCGTATCACTAGAATTCGCAGACCACACTGGAACCGCATAGCTAGCCACAGACCGACCTATCGCTTTGTAAGAGGTCAACAAGGTTTCCTTATCTGCGCCCCAAGTGCTGCCGGCAAGCGACTTGAGGACCTTGTTCCTACTTTTCAACTTATCGCAGATAGCTGTGGTTTGCGCGGACGATTTAAACATGCTGTCGAATGTGACCCCAAGTATTTTGGGGTAGTTGGTGGTCGGAATTGTATGCCCCTCGACCTGCACATTCAACGGCATTCTCATCTCCGCAGTCCATGTGGTGAATAGTGTGGCTGACGACTTCGAGGCGGATATTTTCATATTCCTCGCTTTGAAGAAGGCTGCCAAATCGATGAGATAGGCGTTCAACCTCACACATATGTCTTCAACAATGGGACCCGACGCCATAATCGTACAATCATCTGCATACGTAACGATTTCAATGCCGTCCGGAGGGTGTGGAATACCGGAAAGGTAGAGGTTAAACAGTTCCGGAGAAATCACTCCACCCTGGGGAACTCCCTGTTTAACTCTACGGGGTTTGGACTTCTTGTTCCGGAACTCCACGTACGACTGGCGTCCACACATATAGTTGATTATCCAACGTTTCAAACTCGGCCGGAGGGAAGTGTTCTCTATGTCCTCAAACAGCGTGGCATGGTTGACAGTATCAAAGGCTTTTGATAGGTCAAGCGCTACCAACACTGTTCTATCGCACGGCCGGTTCTGGTTAAGTCCTCTACTTATATGCGTGGAAATGGCGTGCAACGCTGTTGTTGTACTGTGTTGCTTACGGAATCCATGTTGATGATCCGCAACTGGATAGCTTTCTCTAATGCTGGGGAGGAGTAACGCCTCAAGAGTCTTCGCTACTGGCGACAAAAGTGAAATCGGCCTGTACGATTCACCTTTGCTGGCATCCTTGCCCGGCTTCAGTAGCGGGACCACCCTGCCCATAGTCCAGGCTTCGGGGACGACGTGGGTGGCTATCGACAAGTTGAGGACGTTGGTTAAGTACTCGACTCCTGGCTCGTCCAGCTGCTTCAGCATACACATGGATATTCCATCTGGGCCCAACGCTTTTGATGACTTCGCGTTACGGATGACACATGCAACATCACCCATTGTAAGGTAGGGAGTTGTTGTTGTAGCAGCCCTATTGCTTTTACACAATGGGCTGAGGTGACAGACGTTGGCCGAGTAAGACTCGGGTCGTTTCGGATCTTAGACCCCTCTGTCGTGGAAACGAAAGGTAGGGAGTGGTATAAGGCATATTGCTATGCTGACGTACGGGAAGGATCTTCGTCTCCTCATGAAGATGGTCCACTGGTGTCATGAGGAGGCACCCTGTCGCTGTCCTCATGGCGGCATTCTGACAGGTCTGAATATTTCTCCATTGCGTATCACTAGAATTCGCAGACCACACTGGAACCGCATAGCTAGCCACAGACCGACCTATCGCTTTGTAAGAGGTCAACAAGGTTTCCTTATCTGCGCCCCAAGTGCTGCCGGCAAGCGACTTGAGGACCTTGTTCCTACTTTTCAACTTATCGCAGATAGCTGTGGTTTGCGCGGACGATTTAAACATGCTGTCGAATGTGACCCCAAGTATTTTGGGGTAGTTGGTGGTCGGAATTGTATGCCCCTCGACCTGCACATTCAACGGCATTCTCATCTCCGCAGTCCATGTGGTGAATAGTGTGGCTGACGACTTCGAGGCGGATATTTTCATATTCCTCGCTTTGAAGAAGGCTGCCAAATCGATGAGATAGGCGTTCAACCTCACACATATGTCTTCAACAATGGGACCCGACGCCATAATCGTACAATCATCTGCATACGTAACGATTTCAATGCCGTCCGGAGGGTGTGGAATACCGGAAAGGTAGAGGTTAAACAGTTCCGGAGAAATCACTCCACCCTGGGGAACTCCCTGTTTAACTCTACGGGGTTTGGACTTCTTGTTCCGGAACTCCACGTACGACTGGCGTCCACACATATAGTTGATTATCCAACGTTTCAAACTCGGCCGGAGGGAAGTGTTCTCTATGTCCTCAAACAGCGTGGC